TCCAATGACTTACGTCACATGTTAGCCAGCGTGGACCCCAAGCAGTGAGCTATTGCACTGTTGAGAGGAAGCCCGCGTGGTGCTAGCTATGCGAGTTAAGCTATGTAGCGTAAACAAGCAAGCTATCAATAAGTCATAACACCCGCGGGCGAGTAGGACACGAGTGTGGAAAAGTGTCAATAATGAGCATCATCAATATTCAAATCAATCTACACTACAGCTGCAAGTGCACCGTGCGCACAAAATGCCGCCAAGAGACCTCATTCGTCAGAAGCGGGATTACATTTGCCATGCCGTTCGCTGCCACATTCACCATGCGCAGCACCTGGGCTGTCCAGTCTGCGCGCGGTCTACCCACTTTCCTCACGTACCTGTCAGAAACTGGCCGGAAGGACTTCGGATAGAACGCGGGTTCTTTCAGCAAGCTCCCTTCTGGTGTTCTTGATGCCTTCTCTGCAGGAGGAGCTGCTGTCTTGCCACGGCGTCCGTCAGGGGGGCCTGCCCTGTCTCGGGAAGAACTGTAGCGTTGCTCACTCTTGAGATGAAGGTGGGCGCGATCTCCCAGATACAGCGGAGGCACCGGCAACGTGGTGTGAGCTATGGAGGTGGCAGCTATGCGGTTGGGCGCATGCTGTCTGATCGGGGGGTTACAGCTACCTGGTGCAATCTATATGGCGCAAGCGCCGTCGTATAAGCTATGTGGTGCAAGCTACACGGCGGCCCCATCAAATTATTAGGCCGAGTAAGAACTCATACGTGCGACGATTTCGGGGGGGAAGAAGGAATATGAGGTGCTGGATGAGAGAGAGGAGGAGGAGGAGGAGAAGGAGGAGGAGGAGGAGGAGGAGGAGGAGGAGGAGGAGAAGGAGGAGGAAAAGGAGGAGGAGGAGGACCAACGTAAACCGTGCACACTTTCTGGTGTAGCTCAGCGCACGGGGCGCCCACGAGCGCCCACGAGCAGGCACGGGCGCCAGCGCGGCGCCCCCTCGGAGGACCCCCCCGGCGCACGGGGCGCCCACGACCGCAGACAACGGCGGCACGGGGCGGTAACGTGGAACCCCCTCGGTTGACCTGTGCCATTCACTGAAGGCACGTGGGCAAGAACACCTAAGTCCGGGGAGACGTGAGACCCGGATACGGGGGACTCGGAACTCCCCGACGAGGTCGTCAACAAAAATGACGAGGCCGAGCCTGCATTTTGACGAGGCCTCCCGCTGCAGGCATCCCACGAAACTCCTCCCCGTCAAAATCCGAGGCGCGGTCGTCAAAAGACGATGGCGAACCCGAGTCCTGGCAAACCCGGGTCTTGCGTTCCCCCGATAAGTGGAAGCACGGTCTGGGGAAGAATAGCGAACCTCCAGTGCAAGCGCTGTTGCGGGAACGTGTTCGGAAGCCCGAGCGGATTCGGTGGATCGCCGCTGGACCTCCTCCCCAGCGCGCGGATAGTGTCAAGGGCGTCGCCGGAGGTGCCGTCAAAAGGGTTATGTCTGTGTGTGCCGCCTCTAGTTCTTGGAGAGGAGGGGGGATTTGAGCAGGAGGAAAAGAGAACGGAGCGCAGGAAGGAGGATGGAGAAGGCCACTGGTCTCCCGCCGGGCCTTCCTCCAATCTCCCGGACAACGGTCGTCGCAGCTTTCTCGCAGCTCTCGGCCCCATCCCGGAGACATTTGCCTTCCGCCGCGGATTGTGTTCTCGTGTCCTGGGATCCGAGAACAACCGCCAGAAGCCAAACAGCTTCTGATGATGATGGTGGCGGTAAGGATGATGGTGGCACTGAAGATGGCAACGATCAGTTTGCACTGCTCTCTACATCACCGCAACGATGGTATGTGACACGACTGTTGGCTTACATGCCACTGTTTACCAGCCTGGAACATATCCCGATCCCTATGCTGGGCATCTCCTCATCACGATGCCAATCTTAGGGGTTCCCTTATTTTTGGATGGCGAATCCCTAAGATTGTCATCGCCTTTTGGCGTGTCAATCTTAGGGATAGGGATCAGTTCGAGGCTGGTAAACTGTGCCTGGAACCAATGCACGCTCGCATGCTCCAGGGTCAGCACGACGGAAGAGTGCCCTCGAGGAAACGGCTCGTGGCCCTCGGGGCCCTCCCACACGGGCCCCTCCCTCACTCCGAACCGCTTCTTGCCTGTCCCGGGGCTCGGAGGCGTTCCTTTGCAAGCACGTCGTTTTCGGCACCGCCTGATCCCGAGGCTTTGCCTCCTCCTGGCCTCGCCGTGAGGCTGCGCTCCCCAGGGCTCGGGGAGGGCCCCATCCAGGGCCTCTGCGAGAAACCTGCAGGGCTCTTCTCCCTGATTCATAGTGTGTTCGCTCAAGGGTTCTGCCCAAGGCAAGGAAGAAAACCACAGAAGAGCACCACGAAGGGGGCGGGGAGCCCGACACCACCGACCATAGACCGCCTGGTCCGGCAACCACTTCGCCCGAGACCTCCCCACGATGCATCTCGGAGCCGTGCCCTCGCCGCAACGACGGCTACCTCTTTGGTCCGGACGGCCACGATCCCTTGCAAGCATGGCCGTGCTCACTGACGGGGCCCTGGGACGCACAAATACATACACACACAAATAAAAGGATTCCCTATGTTTTCAAATATTTTCTCGGTTTTTGTCTTCCCCCACACTTCCCACATTTTCCCATATTTTCATGGGAATCGACGATTAATTCTGTCTGTGTGTTTCTTTCCCTCCTGACGCACATCTGCCTGCCAGCGTTCCCGGGAACGCCTAGGAATGCAACTTGCCACTCGTTGACCTCCTAATTACTCCTCGACCCTTCTCTTCACCCTTGCTGCTGTCAGGGTGCCTGGCCGGGTTGATTTCAGCAGGGCCCCTCTCGCGAGGGGGGACGACTCAGGGAAACTGCGTCGCCAAAGAACATCGAGTTTTCAAACGAAGCCGATACATCCGGCCCGTCAAAGACCGCGTCGTTCAGTGTAAATGTGACGAGCCAACAACACACACCCATACCCATAAGGGGGGTCGGAAAGGGCTATGGGTGCGTGTTGTCGGATGGGGGTCCCCGCTCGAACGGGAGCGTTCCCTGGGGTCCGACGACCCGCACCCGTGCCCATAGCCAGTCCTCCTCCCCACGACCCCCTTGTGGGTATGGGCGTGCTGTGCGCTCGATGTCAATGCGCCACCTCCTTCGCGGTGGGGATCCCCCACAACGGTGCCGACAGCTCGCGCGGCGACCTCGAACTCCACAGCGGCCTCGCTCTGCCCGCCACCGCACGGCACGGGGACCCGAGGGTCGGCGCCGCTGCTCCTCCTCCTCCTCCTCCTCCTCCTCCTCCTCCTCCTCCTCCTCCTCCTCCTCTTCGTCCTTCTCCTCCTCCTCCTCCTCCTCCTCCTCCTCCTCCTCCTCCTCCTCCTCCTCCTCTTCGTCCTCCGCCCGAAGCGCCCTCGGAGAGCGGCGCCCCGGGCCCCGCGACTCTGCGCGGCCGCCCCCCCGTGCCCCCCCCATGGACTCGCTCGGTGCGCGGGGGGGCCACCGCCCCGCCAGGGGCAGTTTGGGGGCCCCCGAGGCTCGGCCCCGCCGAGCCAGACCGTTTCCGGAGCGCGCCCCCGCCGGAGACGCGGCCTCGCGGGAAAGATAGGCAGCGCGGCGCGACGTCGCCACGAGGCCTCCGGGCCCCCAGCTTCCCGTGCTCCTCGAGCCGGAGCGGCACATGGGAGCGTCCTGGGGCCAGGGAGGCGAGAGCGCCAGGCTCGAACAGACTGCGACGGCAGGGCCTCGAGGTCCGGAGCGCGCCCGCGCGCGCCAGAGGAGGTCGAGGCCATGAGGGGGAATCGATGGGGCGGGGACAGGCTCAGGGGGAAGGGAAGCGTCGGCATGCAATCGGCGATGCATCGCCGATGGATCGGCGACAGGCCCTGGATTCTGACGACTCCGTGCTGCTCATTCGTCGTAGGCGCAAGTGTGAAGCAGCCCAGAAGCCTCGATCAGAGGCTTCGGTCCGCGTTGTCACCTATCTTGCGCGTGCTGCTCACTACGTTTGGTAGTGCTCTCTGCAAGGGCCGCCACCCTCATTACTGCGAGCAGACGGTGGTCGACCACGCGCGGGGGGGGTCAGGGGTAGAGTGGAAGGCTTCTTGGAAGCACCCCTGCCTCTTGGAAGGCGCGAACCTTGCCTACAGATCTAGGGCCGTCGCCTTCTAAGGAGCAGGCTCCTTCTGAGAAGCCTTCCCCCCTCCCCGTACCCCCCTCTGCGCGTGGCCGAGATGGGGGTCACGATCGATATGAACAAGTGCTTGCAGTGTTTGAGCACCAAGCACTCGAGCCAACTCTGTGGCCCAGTTGGGACGTTGGAGCCCTCTGATGCGGCCCTTGCAGGAGGAGGAGGAGGAGGAGGAAGAAGAAGAAGAAGAAGAATTCACATGCACCTCGAGAGACACCTCGCAAAGCGAGGTGCGCTCTCTGGTCAGCAGCCAGACGAGGTTACACACAGCCGTGCACTCGATGTCAAACATCCTCCTGCTCATCCTAGGCCTCTCTCCTGCCCGCTCCTTTGTCCCTGTTCTCTTCTCCGTCCCACCTCCCTCCCCCCCTCCCCCTCTCCCCCATTGCACGTCAGGCTGTGGCGCACGACGGCCTCGGGTCAAACAACAGCCCTCCCTCCTCCCCCCCTCCCTCCCTCACTCCCTCCCTCCCTCCTCCCCTCCCCTCCCTCCCCGCTGTCCCCCCTCCCTCCTCCCTCCTCCTTCCCTCCCCCTTCCAGAGGAGGAGGAGGAGGGAGGAGGAGGAGGAGGAGGAGGAGGAAGAGGAGGAGTTGGAGGAGGAGGAGGAAGGAGGAGGAGGAGGGAGGAGGAGGAGGAGGAGGAGGAGGAGGGAGGAGGAGGAGGACGAGGAGGAGGAGGGAGGAGGAGGAGGAGGAGTTGGAGTTGGAGGAGAGGAGGAGGAGGAGGAGGAGGAGGAGGAGGAGGGGAGGAGGAGGAGGGAGGAGGGAGGAGGGAGGAGGGAGGAGGAGGGAGGAGGGAGGACTGTCCTCCACGAAGAACTCGTGGCCCTCGTCCCCGTCGTCGTCCTCCAGCAGCGGCCGCGGGGGGCCGGGCACGGCCCCGTCGCCGCTCGGCCGGTACACGAAGACCTCCTCGGCCTTGCCTGCGGGGCGGGGGGGCCCTCGCCCTGCCCGATCGTTTTCTTCCTCCTCCTCCTCCTCCTCAAGATCCTCCTCCGCCTCCTCCTCCTCCTCCTCCTCCACCTCCTCCTCCTCCTCCTCGTCCACCTCCTCCTCGTCCTCCTCCCCCTCCTCCCCAAGATCCTCCTTCTCCTCCTCCTCCTCCTTCGGCTCCTCCTCCTCCTCTACTCCTCCTCCTGCTCCTCCTTCGGCTCCTCCTCCTCTTCTACTCCTCCTTCTTCAGCTCTTCCTCTCCTCCTCCTCCACTTCCTCCTCCTCCTGCTCCAGCTCCTCCTCTGCCTCTCCGGAGTGTTCTTTGGGCTGTCTTCGGGCGTCTGGGTGTCTGGGGGTCCGCTTGGGGCTCTCGCGGGGCCGTTTGGCCACCCCCCCCGGGCCGCTTTGGGCCCGCTGGCTGGGCCCGGCGGGGACGTCCAGGCCCCGAAGCTCCCGGGGGGCCGGGGACCCTCTGTAGGCGTCGAGGAGGCCCATAGGGACCGAGGATCCAGAGAGTCTGGCTTGGGGGGGCGTATCACCCCCCTCGGCTTGCAGACATATGGGCATCGGAAAGAATATGTATACGATCGAACCTAGAACAGAAAAACATCTCTCGGGGCCATGAGAACATCCGGCAGCCCAAACTGAAGAACAGTCGAGGGTACCCTCCCCCCGGATGCACAAGAACATCCAACAAACACGAAGAGCATTATTGAACCCTCCCCGAACTGACCTCGATCTTATACCCCGGTCCGACTGTCACCCCTGAGGGGTAGCAAAACGAAGTTGTGACAGAGCGTCGTTCTCTGCTCTCTAAATACCCCTGCCGTGCAGCCAACTAATTCGACCCTTCAGGATCGGGGTTCCCTGGGGCCCCTCACTCCCCATGGACGATGCGTGGGCCAAGATTTAAGGCAATCTGGAGCGAGACTTCAACATCTGGTGCACAAATTACATATGAGATATGTATGGATACACTTGTCAGCAGGCATGCATAAACACATATCTATGTATATGTACGTACCTCTCTATATCTATGCATGTTTGTATGCATGCTTGCATGTACGTATGTCTGCCAATCGGCTTGCCTGTCTGTATGCTTGCATGCATGTACGCGCGAAGGTATAGATGTGTACATGTATGATTGTCAGTACGTACATACACATGCATGCATGTGTATATGTGCATGCGTGCATGTATGCATGTATGTAGGAATGTAGGCATGCATGTGTAAATGCATACATGTTTGTATGTGCATAGACGTATGCATGCATGCGTGTGTGCATTTATGTATGGGCATCGTATATATATAGAGTCACGTATGTGTACAAACATGTATGTATGTATGTATGTAAGTAAGTATGTATGTATGTGCGTGTGTATGTATGTATAGATGTATGCATGTGCGTATGTATGTGTGTATGTGTGTATGTGTGTATGTATGTATGTATGTATGTATGTATGTATGTATGTATGTATGTATGTATGTATGTGTGTTTGTATGTATGTATATATGTATGTATGTATGCATGCATGTATGTATGTATGTATGTATGTATGTTTATATGTGCATGTATGTATGTATGTATGTATGTATGTATGTACGTATGTACGTACGTACGTACGTACGTACGTATGTATGTATGTATGTATGTATGTATGTATGTATGTATGTATGTATGTGTGCATGTATGTATGTATGTATGTATGCATGCATGCATGCATGCATGCATGCATGCATGTATGTATGTATGTCTGTATGTATGTGTATGCGCGTATGCAGGCATGCCTGTATGCCTGTATGCCGGTATGTCTGTCCGTCTTCCTGTCTGTCTGTCTGCGCGTATGTATGGCTGTATGTAGGTATGTAATCTGGCTGTATGCGTGTAAGCATGCATCATGTATGCCTGTAGGTATGTAGATACGCATGTGTGTATGCATGTATGTATCTATGTATGGATGTGTGCATGTATGTATGTGTGCGTGCATGCATGCATGCATGCATCTACACCTGCATGTATAGCTAATTACGTGTGTGCGGAGATACATACAATCACACATCCATACACACATACCTACAAATACACACACATGTAGATGTATATACACATATATCCACCACCGTGCCGCTTGGCACGGTGGGCGTGTCCTCAGGTCCTGGGCCCACTCCTCTAAGCCTCAGCGCTCACTCCTGATGAGTCTGTCAGGGGCCTGGACCCCGAATGCAAACATCTCTTGGGGCTTCCCGCGTGCCCTCCGGGGCCTCCCGCGCGTGCTGGGCTTAGTGGCTTAGCCAAGTGGTTGCGCGTGTTTTTTTTCCCGGGCCCAAGGGGGCACCAAGACGAGCCAAGAGGGCCCCGAGACGGCCTAAGAGCGCCCCAAGACGGCATAAGATGGCCGAAGAGGCCTCCAAGACGCCCCAAGAGGCCTCCCAATAATTGATGCTCCTTAGCTTTGTGAAAGATTGTGGAGTTCTCGCTGTTTCGATTTCCGACGCTCCAAGACGGCCCAAGAGACCCCCAAGACCACCCCGGAATGACCCAAGAGGTCTCCAAGAGGGCTCAAGGCGGCATAAGAGCGCCCCAAGACGGCCCAAGAGGCGCCCAGGGCGGCCCAAGAGGGCCCCAAGACGACCCCCAAAAAGGTCCAAGCGAGGGAACACGAACCGAACATCCGAGCCTTCCTCCCCAAGAGGGAAGCCCAAGAGGCGCCCAGGAAGCCGCAAGAGACCCCCAAGAGGCCCAAAAGAGGCCTTAAGAGGCCCCCGAACGGAGCCCAATAGGCCTCCAAACTGCCTCCAAAAGGTCTCCGAGAGGCCTGCTCCCACGACATCCCAACGAACGTCCAACAGACTTCGTTACCACAACCCAGGCACGGTGGCGGGATGGACCAACAACCATTCTATATCCGACGCCCCCAGTTGGCTTGCCACACGACCCGGTTGCCAACATTTCTCCTGCTCCAGACGGCTCCAAGATGGCCTCCAAGACGGCTACGAGGGCCCTCCAAGACTGCCAAACGAGTCCAAGATGCCTCCAAGTTCAGCCAGGAAGCCTCCAAGACGGTCGAAGACGGCCCCAGAGGCCCCCGAGAGGCCTCCAAGAGGGCCCAGGAGGCGTCTAAGAGGTTCTTTAGGAGGGCACGACGAGTAAATCATTAATTTCCCCTGAATGTTTGAAGGATTTTGGCATTTGCTCCTTTTCGGCCTTCCGACAGCCCAAGACGGCCAAAGAGGCCCCCTAGATCGCACCCAGAGCGCCCAAGAGGCATACAAGATGGCCCCAAGAGGGCCCAAAGACTGCCCAAGAGGCCTCTAAGACGCCCAAGGAAGCCTCCACGACGGTCCTGGAGCACCCCGAGAGGGCCCCAAGTCGGCCCAGAGAGGCCCCAAGACGGCTTCCGACGGCGTCAGATAGGCCGGGAGCCCACTAAGACTGCCCAAGGTGGCTCTAAGATGGCCCAAGAGGCCTCCAAGAGGGCCTCCAGGAAGGCCCGAAGAGGCAAAATGTATCGATCTCCATCGGGTGTTTGAAGAATGTCGGCATGTGCTTCTTTTCGGCCTTCCGACAGCCCGAGACGGCCCAAGAGCAAAGATGGCCCCAGAACGGCCCTGGGCCCCCAATACGGCCCCAAGAGGGGCCCTGGAGCATTCCAGGAGGGCCCCAAGTCGGCCCAGAGAGGCCCCCCAAACGCCTTCCTACGGCGTCAGACGGGTCAGGAGCCCACCAAGACGGCCCAAGATGGCTCTAAGTTGGCCCAAGACGGCCCAAGAGGCCTCCAAGAAGGCCTCCAGGAAGGCCAACATCATTGATTTCCCTTCGGTGTGTGAAGGATTCTTGCATTTGCTTCCGTTCAGTTTACCGACGGCCCGAGACGGCCCGAGAGCCCCCAAAGATCGCCCCAAGGTCGCCCGAGAAGCCTACAGGATGGCCCCAAGAGGGCCCCAAGTCTGCCCAGAGGGGCACCCAAGGCGACGTCCGACGGCGTCAGACGGGCTAGGAGCCGACCAAGACGGCCATCGAGGCCCCCAAGAAGCCCCCAAAGGCCCCCAAAGAGGCCCAACCCCAAGATGCCTCCAACATGCTCCAAGGAAGCTCCCAGGAGGCCCCCAGAGTGTCCCCAGAGGCTCCCAAGATGCCCCCTCCTGCTTCTCCTCCTCCTCCTTCTCCTCCTCCACCTCCTCCTCCTCCGCCTCCTCCTGATCTTCCCCGCCATCCTCCCCCGAGTGTTCCCAGAACGGTTTCCACAACGGCTGGGGGAACACACGGTCCGATAGCTTGGCGGAGCTCTTGCCACAACGCTCGGCCACATGGGCGATTCTAGAAGGCAAGGGGCGGTGGTGATTCGCCGTAGGCGTCTCCGATATCAAACAAATAAGGCACTGAAAGGAAATGCGATGCTCCAGCTCCAATGTGGAGGCTGCGATGGCTGAACGCCTCCTCCTCCTCCTACTCCCCCCCCCCTGATCACCCTGTGGCGCGAACGTCGCGTTCCTCGGGAGGCCCATCAAAACGTTGATCTCCTCCTGGCCCTTCTGCACCTTGTCTCTTTGCCGAAGCGGGCGGGGAGCAGACGTACAGGGTGTGTTTTGAGAGGGAGGGGAAGAGGGTGGGAGGGGAGTGAATGGGGGAACTCCCTCGGCCATGATCCAGTCTTCGTCCCTAGAGGAATAAACAAAACCGTACCTACACGACCGCCCTGTGAGCGATAAGGAGGTTTTGGGGGGGATTGAGATCAAATGACTACCCTGACTGACCTCCAGCCTGTCACCTTGATCTCATCTCTCTCTTTCTCTCTGTCTCTCTCTCTCTCTCTCTCGCCCTCTCTCTCTCTCTCCCTTTCTATCAGAGTCTCCCTCACCACAATGATCATCGCGATGACGATGAGATCCCACTAACTACCTATCCGTCGACCGACCTATCGGATGGGATACGATGGATTGGATAAGATAAGATGGGTTGGATTGGAAGACATGTATTGGATAAGATAAGATGGATTGTATTGGCCCGCCGCAGGCGCAGAAACACATGAATTGATGAATTGGGTTGGATGGATTGGATTGGGTGGGATAAGATAAGATAGGACAAGATGGGTTGGATCAGAGAAGATGTATTGGATTCAAAAAGATGTATTGGATAAGATAACCTGGATTTGGATAATAAAGCCCGCCGCAGGCGCCGACGAACATGAATTGATGTATTGGGTTGGGTGGTTTGGATTGTATGGGATAAGATGGATAGGATAAGATAAGATGGGTTGAATTGGAAGAGCTGGATTGGATAAGATAATATTGATTGTATTGGCCCGCCGCAGGCGCAGAAACACATGAATTGATGAATTGGGTTGGATGGATTGGATTGGGTGGGATAATATAAGATGGGACAAGATGGGTTGGATAAGATAAGATGTATTGGATTGGACAAGATGTATTGGATAAGATAGGCTGGATTGGTTAAGCCCGGCGCAGGCGCCGAAAAACATTAATTATGACATTAGCGACATGCGTTAGCGCCGGGACGGCCGGGACACCCGAGACACCAGGGACACCGCCCGGCCCAACTGGGACACCTCCCGGCCACCAGCGGACGGGCAACGGACTTTCGCTCCTACTGTCACCCGGGACACCTGGGACACCGCCCGGCCCAACTGGGACACCTCCCAGCCACCGTCGGACGGGAACGGACTTTCGCTCCTACTTCGGCCTAGCTACAGGAGGATCACGCGCAACTTCGCCTCGCCCGCACGCACGACACGAACACGAAACCGAAACCGATTTCCCGGTGGGGGGTCTCCGTTTCACTGCGATCTCACCCCCCATCCTCCGATACGTAAGCTGAAACTTTGGGCTGGTGCTGGACCCCCCTCCCCCGGGCGGCGCCTCCGGCAACGCCCCTGGCGTGCTTCGCGCGCCAGGGGACGGAGTTCCAGCGCCGACCCAGGAAATCTGCGCGGACCTCTCTCAAAGTGTCTGTTTACGCGAATTTGTTTGAAGGGGGAGAGATGGAAAGGGATGGGAGGCCGATGCAGGGGAAGCAAACATGAAGCGGGAATCGGAGATACATCGCCGACAGATTGACGGCAGGTCCCCCGATGGCGAATCCGAGCGTGCCTGGGCGGGGTGGGCCATCAGGCCCGCGTGGGCGATGAGAGGGCGATGTGGAGTCGCTACGCCGACCCCCCCCCTGATCGGGCGTTGGCAGGACTGGGTTATGTGTACTGGGGACGCCCCCCCCGCCCCGTTCCATTAACTGGAATTGCCGTCACCCAAAAAAACACCGGCTACGGCAGACCTGGTTTAGTGACTCTGGCCGATTCACGGGCTCCGGGACCCTACCACTAATCGCTAACCGGGTCCCCTTACCATGGGTCCTGGCTATACAGTCGGGGCGTTGACCTAAGGAACCCTAAATAAGGAACGAGTCCCCTTTTTCCCATAAGTTCAACCTCGATTTCCTATGGAAACCCTCAGGAAAACCCGAGGCAAACTTTGAAACATTCAAGGAACATCGAGCCCCTCCCCAGCGAAAAGGGTTCCTTCTTCAGGGCCCCGACTGTATACCCGACCTGAGCCTGTCCCCACCCCCACCCCAAAGCGGCCCCCGAGGGAGGGGGGAGTGTCGGGTCGGGCGATAGGGGGGGATAGCAAAGGGGGGGTTTGAGAATCAGCTCACGTAGCTGATTTTCCCGGCGCCTCCCGGCGCCGGGAGGCGCCCATGTATCGAGGAGTGGGCCCCTCGGTGAGGTCGAAACCAGCTGCATGCAGCAAATTTCGTAACCCCGCCTTTCCCAATCCCCCCCTTTCGTCCGGCCCGAGGGTCCCCTTACCCTGGGTCCTGGCTATACCCGACCTGAGCCTGTCCCCACCCCCACCCCAAAGTGGCCCCCGAGGGAGGGGGGGAGCGGGAGGGATGCCAAGCAGTCCGCGGGGCCAGCCTCCTGGCACGAACCAGCGCTCGCGCAGCGCATGCGCTCGGGACCCACGACCGTTCAAGCACACGCGCGTCCCTCCTTCGCTCCTGGGGGGTGGGGAGATTTTAGGGGGAAAACAAACCTACCTCGCTTCTGACCACCCTCGCTTCCAAGAGATACCAAACGATGCCAAATTGCAGCCTGTACTGGTCAGGCCGCTTGACGAGGAGGCGCGTGGTATGGCTGGGTTTTGCCTGGAAGCGAAAGCGGGGCAGGTAATTCACGCTCTGAGATGTTCCTGCTCGCGAGGAGTGGGCGACGGGGGGTCGCCGCATTCGCCGCCGGAGCCGATCCCCCCCTGCCCCCAGCGTTGCACCCCCGAGGAGAGCGCATAGCTCGCGAGGCCGGCCTCTCGTGCCGTGGGCGCCAGAGCGCAGCGCAGGCGCTCGAGGCCCACGAGCAGGCGTGCGCAAGCGCGTCGTCGTCTTCGCCGGGGGAGGAGGAGGAGGATGGAGGAGGAGGAGGAGGAGGAGGAGGAGGAGGAGGCGGAGGAGGAGGAGGAGGTTCCTCTTCGCTCGCGACGGCGAACTGGCGATCAGGAATGGGTGCGCACCCCCCTGGAGCCTACACCCACCCCCCCCAGCGATGCCCCCAGGGGAGGGGGGAGGGGGGTGCAGAGAGGAGGGGGGGCATGGGGCACGGATAGGCCTGCCTCCACAAACCCTGGTCCGAGAAGCGGAGGAGTGAAACAAACAGTGCATGCGGGCGAATGCGCCAGAGCGTGACACACACGGGCACTAGTGCCAATATGGTCGGACAAGGCCCAATATGCAACAGCACACTGGCCCTTGCCTCCCCGTCGCCAACATAGACATGGCGACAACATCAACACAATACAGTACAATCAACATGATCATGCTAACATACGTCATCCATCTCCACAGGAACGGGCATGCGCCGCGCGCACTAAACGGTGTGAGGCCAAGGCTAAACTGGGGTCCGCATCGGTGTGATCCCCCGAATTCACTCTACATTCTGAGGGTGGCGGGAACTGCCGGGCCCATTTCGGGCCAGACCAGCCGAGCAAGTGCCAGAGAAAATCACGGCCTCTGGCAGAAACTCTTCCGTTTGCAACGCACCGCAAGATGTGCTAATTTTGTGGGCGGGTACGAAACACACATATTATACAATATGCGCACGCGCGCCTTGCAAACCACATACCCCGTAGCACGAGGGGCACTGCAGGGGGCTGTCGCCAAGACAAGCTTGTGGCGACTTGGTAGCCAGCACGCCGTGCATCGGAAGCGCTGGACGTCTTGGTTCCAGATCAGCTCATGAGGCACACCTCGAGGACGGTATACCAGGGAAAGAGAGCAGGGAGAAAATGGATGAGGGGCCGGGCGATGGATCCCTGAAGTTTTCTCCCCCCCAGAGAAACACCTGATGATGAAAACTGCCACCTTCCCAACTGATGGGGCGATGACTCCACCAAGCAAGCCTAGAGCAGGCTTCTCGAGGGCTCCGGTGGCCATGTAGGCCACAATAATGCCCACATGATCGACTGCTATACGGGAGCGGAACAAACGCTTCAGAGCAGCCGGGTCGACGGGATGCAGTCGTGTTTCAAGGCGAGCGTACGCGTCAGCGTGCGCACTCCATACGTATAGTCGTTCATGCCACCTGAGCGGGCGACGTGGCATCAACATAGGCCATTGCCGATTGAGGAAGAGAAAGGTGAAGAGGATGGAGGAGGAGGAGGAGGAGGAGGAGGAGGAGGAGGAGGAGGAGGAGGAGGAGGAGGAGGAGGAGGAGGAGGAGCAGCAGAGGGAGAAGGAGGAGGATGAGGAGGTGGATCGAGAGAACGGAGGAGGATGGACGATGAGGAGCAGGGGGATTGAGGAGCACGGGGGAGGATGGAGGAGGAAGGAGGACGGAGGAGGGAGGGGGGCGAGAAAATGTACGGGAATGGAGGAAGAGAATGGAGGCAGAAGATGGGGAAGACGTATGGAGGAGGGGCCCCGCTCGCGTCAGTGGAGGGGGGGCTCGCCGCCGAGCCCGCCGACCCGCCGAGCCCGTCGCCCCCCCCCCCCCCCCCCCCCCCCCGCGGCGGGAGGGCGGCAGACTGGCGGGAGGGGGCAGCAAGGAAAGGGAGCAGGCAGGGGAGGAGGAGGAGGAGGAGGTCCCGAGCGATGGAACGCGAGTCTACCGATACAGACCCGCGCCAGCAGAAGACAATGTGGATCCGACACCCCCCGCGGGGGTAGAGCGGAGGGCGACAGCCCCAAGAATGAGGGCATACCCCAGGTCGTCGCACACGACAGGGTCCACCCAGTCCAGGCCAGAGACTGCAAGGTCGAGCGCGACCCCGAAGAGCCACGCGAACAAGCAGCTCTCCAGCACAATGAAGACGGCCGCGCGAGCGCCAGTACCCCCATCCACCATGAGCATCACGGCGGATCCAGCGCGATCCGTCCCCAGGTCGCGACGGCGAGCTCGACCCCGAAGAGGCACATGAACCCGCCGCCACCGAGGGTGGGCCAGGCCGGCAGCCCAGCCTGCGAAGACGCCCGCCAGCATCACCTCGAGCTGCCGCCGGCGGCCCTGAGGATGATGGAGGTGATGCGGCCGTTGTCGCCCGCCGCCGTCGCCGCCGCGAGCTCCGCCATCACCTGAGGCGAGAGCTTGTGGCCACCCTGCGCGCCAGCAGCGGGCGCAGCGACCCGCCCGCGCCATCAGCTCCAGTCGCCGCCAGCGCCCGCGCGGCCACAGCCACCGCAGGCGCCGCCGCCGCAGCATCGCCGCCACCACGTACAGCTCCTGCCTCCGCAAGCGGCACGCCGCCTGGTCCAGTAGGGCCTCCCGCAGCAGCACACGCCCCAGCACGACGCGGCCTGCGCCTCCTCGGCACGGCCTCGTCCGCCCAGGCGTCGTCAAACTCGACGTCGTCGCCGCCGTCGTTGTCCGTGTTGGGGCCGCCAGCGGCAGCGGGGACCGCAGCGGGCGGCGGGCCATCCGCCACCACTGCATCCGCCATCGCCGCAGCTCCCCCTCGCTCCAGTACGCGCCGCCCCGCACGCCTCTGACGGCGCCTGCGCCGCCGCTCGCGCAGCGCCTCCGAGGAAGCGCGAGGAGCGGCGTCGGCAGGCACTTCAGGGCGTACTCCGCCGCCCGCGGCGGCAGGCTCCCGCGGAATCGACCGCGCCGCGAAGGCGGCGGCCGACACGGCGGAGCGTGCCACGGCAGCGACAGTGCGGCGCGGCGCGCCGCCGTCCACGGCTCCGCGGACCGCCGCAGCCACCATGGCCGCCAGGTCCACAGGCGCCGCGAGAGCCCCTCTAGGCAGCGCCATCCCGCGGTCCCGCAAGGAGAGGAGGGAGGCGCGGCCGTGCGATCGCTTGAGCCAAAATGGCTACGGAAAGAGAAGGAGGAGGAGGAGGAGGAGGAGGAGGAGGAGGAGGAGGAGGAGGAGGAGGAGGAGGAGGAGGAGGAGGAGGAGGAGGAGGAGGAGGAGGAAGGGGAGGAGGAGGACGACGAGGATGAGCAGATCGCGGAGGAGGTGCAAGGGGGACGCGGGGGAGGTGGAGGGGCACGGCGGGCAGGAGGAAACGGACTCGACTCGACTGTCGTGGGCTCAGCAATCGAGCGTGCACTACACAAGTACAGGGACGCACTCAAGTGCGACACGTGGGATCTCTCTATATAGCTACTCGCATTTTCTACATACATATTCACATATCACAGATATATGTTTGTACATGTATACGTGTATATATATGTATGTGCATATACGCGTACACACAATGCGTTTACGTACACATCTAGATTCAAACATCTATATACATATACACATACAGTTATATACACGTTAAAGCTGGAGGCGAATTTCGATCCAGTGATTCACCTTCGCTCCATGCGAGCATGCGCAGCCCTTCAAAAAAGGCGCAGGCCCTGCCAGCGCGCCGTCGGTCCGCGCGCAGCTGGGGGCCAAGCAGCGCCCGCGCAGAATGGGACGGCGCTTTCTCTGGTGAGCCCGCTTCTGCGCCGACATCCGTCTTTTCGTCGCCCTGTCCCGAACTGCACCTCATCTCCGCTGACCATGGGCCACTGGGCTGCGCCCTCCGGCATGATCATGTCCACCGCGCGGCTGTCCCGATCCAGGCTGAACGCCCCGAGTGCTGCCCACTCCTCCCACGTCCAGATTGTCCTCTCCTGTAAGACCGCGCAACCTTCCTCCAACCTCGCCCGTGCAGGGTCGTGCGCGACATCAGGAAGAAGCGCCGCGAGCCCTGGCATTTCTCCAACTGTGAAATTCAATGTTGGAAGAGTCGTGCTCGAAAGTATGCTGGTCGACGTCGCGGCCGTCGGTTTCTTTCTGCGTGGCGTCGGGTTCCGTCGCGCGGTGCCCGAAGCTCTGCCGGCGCCCGCCGGTGTCGGCCAGGCGGCGCCAGCGCAGAATGGGGTGGCACGTCCTCTGGCTAGCCCGCTTCTGCGTCAATATCCGTCTCCACCCCGTCCCGCGCTGCTCCTCATCTTCGCTGACCATGGCCCGCTGGGCTGTGCCCCCCGGCGCGATCATGCTCGCCGCGCGGCTGTCCCGATGCAGGCTGAACACCCCGACTGCTGCCCACTCCTCGAACGACTGGTCGATCCACTCGTCCGACGTCCACGTGATCCTCTCCTGCGAGACCGCGTATCCCTCCTCCGACCTCGTGCCAGGTCGTGCACGACGTCGAAGAGAGGCGCCGCGAGCCCGGGCAGTTCTCTACCCGTGTGAGTAATTATAACTTAACCCCATGCTGCAGATAATAAACCCTAAGGGATAATAAAGTTCGGGGTTTTCGGGGGGATAACAAAAGTTGCCCGCCAGAGCCAGCATGAACATATATCAAGAGGGAAAAGCCAAAGATATCTTGATAATCCTTGGTCGTTGGTCCTCTATGAAACATCCTCAACAATGATTTGTCTCGGTTGAGACATCCTCAACGACATCCCTATGGATTTTTCTACATCCCTATAGATTTCTATACGAATACTTATAGAGTTCGATCGATTGCTTTGGGTTTCTTTGGGTTCCTATGGATTCCTTGTAGATCTCTATGAGTTTATTATTATTTGTTATAGAATTGAATTGACGCTTGCGTCGGCCCCGTTAACGAGTTCCATGGATAGTGAACTCCAGCGATAAACAAGTTCAGGGGGGCAGGGGGAAGAGAAGAAAGATAGAGAGATACATAGAAATATAGAGAGAGAAGAGGAGGTTGAGGAGGAAGAGGAGGAGGAGGAAGAGGAGAAACAGCAAGAGGAGGAGAGCAGAAGGAGATAGCAAAAATCCAAAGTTCAAAACTTATTATATCTAATTTGTAAACGCTTAATGGAAATTAGAATTTTCATCTGCTCGTGTAGAGTAGCTCATCTGTCTCGGTTTCCTTGGATAATAAAGCACAGCGATAAACAAGTTCAGGGGCCACGGGGAGGAAGAGAAAGAAACATTGATCGTTTGGTTTCACGTTGCCTCCCAACATTATTGGTTTCGCTTGAGACATCCTGAAAAAAACGTGTTCGTTTCGCTTGATGTTGTTATCTCAACATGAGAAGGAAGTAACCTCGATGGCGAACTTTTCCCGTGATAATGAAGGTCGGCCTCCGCGCCCCCGCGCCCCCGACCAAACTCTTATTGGTCGACGATAAAAAACTCTAACTACTTAAGGGGGGGGGGTACATTATTATCGTGGGCATGGGGTTAGACAAGCGCGTTCCATTACCCGCAGGGTAACTACTCGCAAATGGTATGGTTCCGCCGTGGGGGATCTACAATAATTCTCACCCGAGCAAACACATGTTTTTCTGATTTCTGCGAGTAGGCACCTTGCGAGTAGTGGAACGCGCTTGGAGTAATGAAGTGTTGGAAGAGTCGTACTCGAAGCTTTGCTGGTGACCGTCGCAGGTCGTCGGTTGCCCCTTCTGGGGCGCCGGGCCCCCTCGCGCAGTGCCCGATGCTCTGCTGGCGCCCGCCGGTGCCGTCGGTGACCCCTTCCGCGGTGCTGGGGCCCCTATCGTGGTGCTCCTCAAAGCTTCGATCGTGCCCGCTGGTGTCGTCGACGCCCCCTATAGGGGCGTTCGGCTCCCTCGCTTGGCGCTCGAAGCTCTGCCGGTCCTCGCCGTTGTCATCGGCGTTCCCATGCGGGGCGTTGGGCTCCGTCGCGTGGTGCCTGGGGCGCTGCAGTTGCCTGCTGGCGCCGTCGGCAGCGCCCCCTCTCGGGGCGCGGGGCGCCTCCTCCTGAAGGCGTCGCGCTCGTTTCTGCGGGCGCGAAGCCCACGTCGTTGCACGGCGCCGCGGCTTTCAAGCGGGCGCTCCGTGCGCGGTCTCTGCCGAACGCGTTTCCTCTGTCATGGTGGTCGTGGGCCACCTGCGCGGCAACTGGCAGAAGCGGTGGGGTGGCGACGAGGAGCGCGGGGTGAGCGACCTCCTTCGGCCGTCGCGATTCTGCTTAACCACGCCGCGCGCCGTAGCGGGTTGAACTACGAGCGCAGGGGATGGAACTACAGTCGGGGCCTTGCCCTAAGGAACCCTAAATAAGGAACGAGGCCCCCTTTTTCCAAAGTTAACCTTCGTTTTCCAGTCGAAGACATAAGGAAAGTCTGAGGCAAGCTGTGAAACACTTAAGGAACGCGGAGCCCCTCCCCAACGAAAAGGGTTCCTTCTTCAGGGCCCCGACTGTACTTGCCGCGATGATTCATTCCCAGTGCCCTTGCCGCGTGCCCTCTCGCGGCCTGTCCGGCGGCGCGCGCCACAGGCCGCGCTCCGAGACCGAGCCCAGAGCCTGAGAGGGTCGAGAAACAGGAGGGGGGGTCGGGAGAATCCTGGGCCCAGGGGGGCTCGACGTGCGGAGGTGCCCGCGGGGCATCGCCCCGAGCGACTGCTGGACTCGGCGCTCCTAGCTGGTCTTGGGCGCGGGCCCCGCTTTGACGAAGGCCGTCTTGGCCCGCCAGTGCCGCAGGGTTTCGCGGGTCACGGCCATCGGCTGGGCTTCGCCAACTGGGGGAGCGCCGCCGCCGATTACTGCGGGTTCGCCTGGGGGCCGGGATGGGCCTCGACGTGGTCGGCGGGCTTCTTTGCCACAGCTTCTGAGCATTTCTGTGCTGCTGCGACCGCCGCGTAGATATGCCGATGACCTTTCGGCGACAAGTGTGCGCTGTAGATGCAGCCCTCGAGGCCGCGCTGGCGCTGGGAGGTGTTGAAGTAGCCCTTTATGAACCCTGATGCCGCCTCGTCCTCCGCGTCGCTGTCTCCCGCCGTCGCTGCATCCGTCGAGCCCGCGCCGCCCTTGTGCCGCCGCCGTGGATGCTCGGCGCCGCGCGCCGCCGGCGGTGGGCCAGCTCGTCCGCGAGGCTGCGGCCAGGCGCTTCCTTGCGTCGCCCATCTCCTCTGCCCCGACTGCCATCGCCAACTTGCGCGCCGAGTGCGAAGCGGAAGCGTGACACCAGAAATATCAACGTTGGTTCTGACGTGGCGCTGAAGGGCCTCGGGCGATGGATGATCGACACTACGCGCGAACGTGCTGTCGGGGCGCGTTGTCGGGACATCGCAATCGTCGGCTGGGCGCTCATGCCCTAAGGGCACTGGTTCGTAATCGTGAGAAGCTGAAGCTGAGAGCATGATGGCCATGGGGACCCTCCGAGCTGAACATTACGCGGGCGCGCCAGCCTTGCCGATCGTGAAATACAAGGCCCCGCTCAGATCCACCAGCCCGAGTCTCGGTGCAAAGCCAGAATCGAGGACGGGGTGCCGGGTCGGGGCCTCGGGATGACCGAGGCTAAGTAGGAGCAGCATGTAGGTGGTGATCTGCACCACAGCACCTGCGTACACCAGTGTGCTCGCGTGCACCACAACGCGCGTGTGAAACACAACGCCTGCGAACACCGCAACATCCGTGTGCAACGCAGCGCCTCTGTACACCACAGCGCTTGCGTGCACCACAGCGCCTGTGCACACCACAGCGAATGTGTAACCCACAGCAACCGTCTTCAACACACCGCCTATGCACACGTACACCACAATGCTTACGTGCACAGCAGCGCCGTAGCACACCACAGCGCTTGCGTACACCAGAGCACCTGCGTGCAACACAGCGCTGTACATCACAGCGCCTGCGTGCACAGGACATGTAGAAGGAGCATGTAGGTGAGGATCTGCTGCGGACGGCCGAACACCGCGAAAGGAGAGTGCTGATAATTGAATGCGATTCCTCCTCCTTCCTCCTCCTCCTTCCTCCTCCTTCCTCCTCCTTCCTCCTCCTCCTCCTCCTCCTCCTCCTCCTCCCTCTCTTCCTCTTCCTCGTCTTCCTCCTCCTCCTCCCCCTCCTCCTCCTGCTCCTCCTCCTCCTCTCTCACCCTTCCTCCTTTCGTGCGGGTCGGCGCTATCGCGCATGTGCGAATCTCAGAGTGCGCCCCTGAAAAACTGGTTATGGAATCAGTCCGCTTGGTTCTCGGACGGCCAACTCTGCGGGAGCCTTCTGGACGCAGATGGGAGGGGTTAGGATGATGCAGGAGGACTCGGGAGGACTCGTGGATTCCAGAGGCGCTCATGTGTCCACAAGGATTCCTTTCCAAATCCTATGTGAAACATTTGTTTTCTGTGGAATCCACAGGGGCTCCATTGTGCATACAAAGATGTCTTCTAAAATTATATATTCAAGATTGGTGTTCTGTTGCGCTCGGTTGCTGTGGTACAAAGAGGCGCTGTGGTGTTCACAGGCGCTGTGGTGCACGCAGGCACTGTGGTGTACACTGGTGCCTTGTTGCACACGGCTGCTGAGATGTAACTGTGGTGCACACTGGCACTGTGGTGTACGCAGGCGCTGTGGTGTACACAGGCGCTGCGGTGCACGCAGGCACCGTGGTTCACACAGTCGCTGTGGTGCAAATCGCCACCTGCATGCTGCTCATTCCTAAGCATTCCCAGACGCCGCGGGCGCGAAACGTGACGCCACTGGCCCCCTTGCCCTCCCCCCCCGGTGATGGCCACCATCGCCCCAGAAGAAAAGAAGAGGCTCAAGGAGAGGGAGGAGGAGGTGGAGGTGGGAGGAGTAGGAGGAGGGGGAGGGGGAGGAGGAGGAGGGGGAGGAGGAGGAGGAGGGGGAGGAGGAGAAAACAAGAGGCCCAAGAATGGAGGGGGAGGAGGTGGAGTAGGATGGCTCTGGGACCCTCGGGTGCATCAAAGCGCTCTTCATGTTCGCCACCATGTCGCGGACGCCGTCCCAGTCCTGAGCTGCGGTGCACGAGGGAGGGAGAGGAGGCAGAGGACGAGCAGACCAGGAGAAGGAAGCAGAAGTGTAGGACTGGGAAGATCGCTCATCGTGCGAGCCCTCCGCGGGCTCGCCGCCGTCTCTGACGGCGCACTGGACGTCTTCTGGTGAACATGTGCTCACACCAAGGGGGCACACCGGGCCACTACCTGCAAGCGTCCGCGACGGACCCCTGGACAGACCAGTCCTGGGCCCGAACTGTGCGTATACGGTCATCCGCATGGTGGGAGGAGGCAAGGTCCGAGTGACCCGCGGCCCACTTGATGGCCTCTGGGACTCCCTAAGCCTGTCCTCGCCACGGCTGGATCCGCCCCGAGATTCTGGCCAGAGCGCACCCTCGGAGATCCCTTGAAAAGCCTGGGGGTCGAACTTTGAGGCGCAAGCATGGCGGATAACAGGTCGTGGAGCAGGGCTGAACCTAAACGGTGTTTTTCGCTTTCGTTTTGTTTTCGTTTTCCCTCTCTATTGTCTCGAATCCGCCTTTACCGCAAAACGAAGTCGAAACGAAAACGGCCCACGACAGCACCAAAAACACCGCTTAGGTCCAGCCCTGCCGTGGAGGATCGTGGTCTTGACATTTTCCCGATGTCGTGGTCTTCAGGACCCGAGGCCCTCCCACCAGCCCCGGAGCGCCAAGCAACGGCGTGGGATGCACCTTGGGGAACCATTGGGTTCAGAAGCCCGCTGCCCTCGTGACCCCCTCCTTTCATGGCGATGTATACGCTCAGGAGACTCAGTCCTGAGGACTTGATCTTCGTCCCCGTGCGGCCAGGCACTGAGTGGAGGGTCCCAATGTCCCGTTGAGTTCTGTGCCAAATCTGTATAATCACTTCCAAACTCGTATACCGCAGATTTCCTGGGGCGTCCCGCATGACTCCTGGGGTGTTCCGCATGACTTGTCCACGATCAGACAATCGCAGAAACAACTTACAGTGTTTCAATGTTTCGGCCCCACGGCCACTATACCAGAATGCCAAACGCGCACACACACACACACACACCTACCTAGAAGGCACTACAACAAAGATGGCAGGAAACTATTGCGCCAGAGAAGCAGAAAACGTACAAGGGATGCCCATCATCGAGAGCTGCACACTTTGAACAGGGATCGACCGTCCCGGCATTCCTGTAGTCATACCACGAAGTGTTCCTAGAACCCACGAATCTTCTAAGAACAAAAACCATGTTCTTAGAACATACACCCCATGCGTCAAAACGAGGCAGCCCCCGCCAGAACTGTTCTAAGAACATTCCCTGGGAACCACAAGAAGGTTCTCAGAACATTGTCTGGTGGGGCCTTACGCCAGCCGAGACGCTTCGCCACTGCTCGACGCTTGCTGACACGCCGACCCGTGCCGGCGCCCCAACCCGGGGGGCCGGCCAAGGCCCTGTCGCGAGCCGGGGCCCGGCTGCTCCGCAGCTCCCAAGCCCAGGCCGGCGGAGGGCGGACAGGGCGCATCGGCTCCACATGCTGCGCTGCATCCTCGGGGGACCTTGCCTGTCCCATGGCTCCGCCATCCACGTCGAATCTGCATCGAATCCCCCGTGGGCACTTGTCGAGTCCGCGTCGAATCCACGTCAAGTCCGCGCCGACTCCGTGCCGGGGAACCACGTCGGGTCTGCCTCGAATCCGCGTCGAGCATGCGTCGGGCACCAGGAGATGACGGCCATTTACAGGACAACACGGTGCCCCGAAATTGCGACGCAACGCTAGAGGAACAAACAAACACATAAGCATAAACTGGTGCAGGTCCGCGTGTGTTTCTTGGATCGGCGCGCGGAGCGCGCCAGGGGCGTCGAAGGAGGCGCCGCCAGGGGGGCCCATGCGCCGACCTAAGAACTCCGCACGGGATGTCGAACGTTCATGTTTGTAGCATTTGTTCCCAACCCGCCTTGGTTGGGTATTCGTTTTGAATGGAGCACTGTGGTCGCGTCCCTTCTCCTCCCGCCTCCCGCCTCCCGTCTCCCGCTCCCCTCTTGTCTCCTCCTGCTTTGTGCGGACCTCGCCGTCCCTGGGGGGCTGCGATCTGCGACACTGTCGCCACTTTCGAGGCCTGCTGGTGGGTCCTGCGGAGTGAGGCACCGCGGGGATCTGAGCGAGACCTCGCCGTCCCTGCGGGGCTGCGATATGCGACACTGTCGCCACTTTCGAGGCCTGCTGGTGGGTCCCTGCGGAGTGACGCACCGCGCAGATCTGAGCGAGACCTCGCCGTCCCTGGGGGGCTGCGATCTGCGACACTGTCGCCACTTTCAAAAGCTGCTGGTGGGTCCATCGGAGTGAGGCACCGCGCAGATCTGAGCGAGACCTCGCCGTCCCTGGGGGGCTGCGATCTGGGACACTGTCGCCACTTTCGAAGCCTGCTGGTGGGCCCTGCGGGGTGAGGCACCGCGGGGACCTGAGCGAGACCTCGCCGTCCCTGGAGGGCTGCGATCTGCGAAAATGTCGCCACTTTCGGGTGCTGCTGGTGGGCCCTGCGGGGTGAGGCACCGCGGGGACCTGAGCGAGACCTCGCCGTCCCTGGGGGGCGCTGCGATCTTTCGAGGGCTGCCGGTGGGTCCTGCGGAGTGAGGCACCGCGGGGATCTGAGCGGGACCTCGCCGTCCCTGGGGGGCAGCGATCTGCGACACTGTCGCCACTTTCGAGGGCTGCTGGTGGGTCCTGCGGAGTGTCATCGCCCCCGTTGTAGCAATCTTGATGTACATATGCCCCGCATTGCCAAGGAAATTCTTCTCCGAAACGCGTGGCTCTCAAAACCAAGATTCCCAACACTCCCTCATTGGGTATTCGTTTTGAATGGAGCACCGCGGTCGCGTCTCCCTTCTCCTCCTACTCCTCTCGCCTCCTGCCCTCCCTTCGCCGTCGCTGGGGGGCTGCGATCTGCCAAACTGTCGCCACTTTCGAAGGCTGCGGAGTGAGGCACCGCGCAAATCTGAGATAGACCTCGCCCTTCCTGGGGGGCTGCGATCTGCGAAAATGTCGCCACTTTCAAAAGCTGCTGGTGGGTCCATCGGAGTGAGGCACCGCGCAGATCTGAGGTAGACCTCGTGGTCCCTGGGGGGCTGCGATCTGGGACAGTGTCGCCACTTTCAAAAGCTGCTGGTGGGTCCAGTGGAGTGAGGCACCGCGCAGACCTGAGATAGACCTCGCCGTCCCTGGGGGGCTGCGATCTCAGAAACTGTCGCCACTTTCGAGGGCTGCTGGTGGGTCCAGCGGAGTGAAGCACCGCGCAAATCTGAGCGAGACCTCGCCGTCCCTGGGGGCTGCGATCTGCGACACTGTCGCCATGTTCGAGGGCTGATGGTGGGTCCAGCGGAGTGAGGCACCGCGCAGATCTGAGATAGTCCTCGCCGCCCCTGGGGGGCTGCGATCTCCGAAACTGCCTGCACTTTCGAGGGCTGCTGGTGGGTCCAGCGGAGTGACGCACCGCGCAGATCTGAGCGAGACCTCGCCTTCCCTGGGGGGCTGCGATCTGGGAAACTGTCGCCACTTTCGAGGGCTGCTGGTGGGTCCATCGGGGCGAGGACCGCGCAGATCTGAAGTAGACCTCGTGGTCCCTGGGGGGCTGCGATCTGGGACACTGTCGCCACTTTCGAGGGCCGCTGGTGGGTCCAGCGGAAAGAGGCACCGCGCAGACCTGAGGTAGACCTCGCCGTCCCTGGGGGGCTGCGATCTGGGACACTGTCGCCACTTTCGAGGGCCGCTGGTGGGTCCAGCGGAGTGAAGCACCGCGCAGATCTGAGGTAGACCTCGCCATTGCTGAAGGGCTGCGATCCGGGACACTGTCGCCACCTTCGAAAGCTGCTGGTGGGTCCAGCGGAGTGAGGCACCGCGCAGACCTGAGATAGACCTCGCCGTCCCTGGGGGGCTGCGATCTGCGAAGCTGTCTCCACTTTCAAGGGCTGCTGGTGGGTCCAGCGGACTGAGGCACCGTGCAGATCTGAGGTAAACCTCGTCGTCCCTGGGGGGCTGCGATCTGGGACACTGTCGCCACTTTCGAGGGCTGCTGGTGGGTCCAGCGGAGTGACGCACCGCGCAGATCTGAGCGAAACCTCGCCGTCCCTGGGGGGCTGCGGTCGGGAAACTGTCGCCACTTTCGAAGGCTGCTGGTGGGTCCAGCGGAGTGACGCACCGCGCAGATCTGAGGTAGACCTCGTGGTCCCTGGGGGGCTGCGATCTGGGACACTGTCGCCACTTTCGAGGGCTCCTGGTGGGTCCAGCGGAGTGAGGCACCGCGCAGATCTGAGCGTGACCTCGCCGTCCCTGGGGAGCTGCGATCTGCGAAACTGTCGCCACTTTCGATGGCTGCTGGTGGGTCCAGCGGAGTGACGCACCGCGCAGATCTGAGGTAGAACTCGCCGTCCCTGTCGCCACTTCGAAGGCTGCTGGTGGGCCCAGCGGAGCGAGGCACCGCGCGAATCTGAGCGAGACCTCCCCGTTCTTTTGGGGGGCTGCGATCTGCGAAACCGTCGCCACTTTCGCGGGCTGCTGGTGGGTCCAGCGGGCTGAGGCACCGCGCAGATCTGAGGTAGGCCTCGCCGTCCCTGGGGGGCCACGATCCGTGGAACCATCGCCATTTTCGAGGGCTGCTGGTGGGTCCAGCGGAGTGAGGTACCACGCAGATCTGAGCCCGACCTCGCCATCCCTGGGGGGCTGCGAGCCTCACAAATGCCGCTTGCAGAGTTATATGCGCCCATGTCATGTGGTCACCTCTGTATAACGCGTCCCAAGCTACTCGTGCGTCGCATTGCGCAAGGTTTGGGTACGTCGCCAGGGTAATTCTTCTTCGAAACGCGTGGTTCCACTAGAGTCTAGAACGACCTCCACTTATTATGAGGAAGGGGGAGGAGGAAGAGGAGGAGGACGAGGAGGAGGAGGAGGAGGAGGAGGAGGAGGAGGAGGAAGGAGGAGGAGGAGGAGGAGGAGGAAGGAGGAGGAGGAGGAGGAGGAGGAGGAGGAG